TCTCAAGGGGCCTCCTTGAGTTTCAGATTTCCAGGCCTTGCAGATCGATGCAAAGCAGGTAATAGTCTGCATGCACAAGGAGGACCACAATGACATGGCAAACAAGAGCAGATAGAAAATATGGCATTTTATAGAAACATTAGACCTTAAAGTTCCTTCCAAGGGCTCCTGTAAATATGATGCTACCGCCAGTATCCAGTTAGCTTACCCTTCACCGTGATAACTGGTTCTATTTAAGTTTAGTTTCTTTATTTTGTATGCAATAAAGGGGACATTGTTACTTTTAATGATTTCTGTAATCTCATTTATTGAGGAAAAGGACAATACCGCAGATGTTTAATGTGTCCATGTCACTACGTGTTAAGGAGTAATTGCTTTGGGGGAGTGTGGAATTGAGGAAATAGTCATATGTGAGAGTTACAAAATCACCCACACACTCTGAACAGACACTGCAGTTTTTGTCTATTGCTCAAGAGTTTTCAGTCACCATAAGGAAATATGGAGTGTATTATAAGATTTTATATAATAATTTCATTTTATTTCACATTTCCGGAAAAAGTAGCTTTTACAGTGTGGTAAAATGTAGCCTGACATAAGAACATATGTATGGCATTTAGCTTTGCCAGCTTATTGGATCCCTGATGACAGTGACTGAGGGTAAAAGAGATGATCCCCTTGTGTATTATCTTCAAAAAAAAAAAGGAAACGTAAGGACCAAATTTGTGCAAAAAGTATTTTTTCTGCTGTGAGTTGGTGAATGGAAGCGTGCAGAAGTGGTACAAAACAATTTTTCTCATTCATGTGAAATGGAATCTGCAAAATCCAAATTGTTTCTAGATTACTATTCTGGATTAATTCAAGTTTAGGGATATTTCTGTGGTTGTAAGAATAGACTTCTTCATTGGGGGGGTGCAGTGTAACATGGCATGGGTGCACTGAAGAGCCTTTCACCAGCTTCATCTGATACCGCTGTGACTTGGAGCAGGAGCTGCGCTACAGGCCAGGATCGACATGCATGGGTTAGTAGGTCAAACAAGGAGCTAGTCTTTCTACAGTTCTAAGGCTGAGTCAGAGTAATGTGGTTTATCAATACAGCACATAAGTGAATCATTGTCCTTACTGGCCATCATAATCACCAAGACAGAACGTGAATAGGATTGGTTATAGAACTGGGGGTGGGTGAAGAAAACAGAAGTCTTTGCATTGTTCTTGGCTTGATGTCTTGATTAGAGCATCCGAAATGTGAACCTGCAGATTGTCAATGCATCTCTTCTTCTCCATCTCTCTCTCTCACACACACAGATTTACACCTATTGAAGCTTGGCTGGTGAGGACTGGGAGAGAAAACACAGATCTCTGTTTCTTGATGCCAGAGCTCAAGCTCAGGTCAAGACTCAGCTCGCCGTAATCCCTCTCAGGTGATGCTGTTCACATTCAGCCATTTCCAGTTGATCTGCTTAAATATGCCTTCCTCGTCCCCTAAAAAGCCCCCACCTCAACTAGAGCAACCACCGAGGAGAGCGTTGTTACTGCCACTGTATTATTCCATGTTGTCAAAAGTCAGATCACTCTTCACCTTTTCAGTATGATGATCAGTCTGGTGCCTCATGAATAATAATAATAATAATAGGATGCTGCAGGGTTAACAATCCCTGGGTTACAATGTTTAGAGCAGTGGCATCATGTGAGAAAGCCTTATTAACAGATGAGCTACCTTAAGAGCATTTTCACTTTTTCCAAAGGCAAGAATGACAAATCTGGTTTTAAAGCAGCCTCTTCCTTCTCCTCCCCATTGGCACTTCATCGATTATATTGTGCCAGAGTGCCAGGCTCCCACATTAACACCCCAAAACAAGAGAATTTGTATGAGCTTTCAGCACACTGATGCCTGATTTCCAGGGTTTAGAAAGAGCAGTCACTGTGTTTAAAATCCTTTTATGCATCCAGAGATGCTATTTTTTTATGCAATCAGTCACTGTGTTTAAAATCCTTTTATGTATCCAGAGATGCTATTTTTTTATGCAGCCAAAAACACATGAGAATTGAAAATAATTCCATCATCAATCATCTTTTTTCATTATATTATCAGTAAACTAGAGCCACAATGGTCAAATATGTGAGAATATCAAGTTTCCACACATTCTGTGTGTGATCTTTTGTTGAAAGAAGGGTACATTCAGCCACAAATTATGACTAGTTTCTGTGTACTTTGGCATCAGAAATTCACCGCACACACCCTTCCTTCTGATTGTCACCGGCCATACAAAATCACATAGAACTCGTTCTCTCCACCCTGCATGCTGTACTCGTTTTATCCAATCACTTTTTTCCTTAAAAAGCATCTGGGAATACAGTTGAGCAACAGGTTAGACAGTTGACTATGACGTGAAACATGCTGCGGCCAGCTGGGAACTCAAATTTGGGATTTTGGGGTTGATGTGGAAAAGTTGACAATATTGCATGGTGCTGTTTCACAATCTTGACTGTTGTTACCTATTCATTACCTGTTTAAGTGTCTTATAGGCCCACTGAGTTCCTCTGCTCTTTCAGGCAGCACTACTTCTCAAGTCTGATTTTATGTAGTCAGCAGGTGGCATCATTAGCCAGAGAATAAAAATGCTAAGTAATACCCTTGTGTCTAGCTATGATATCATAGCAGGGCTCATTGGTATCGTTTTTCAGATTTTAGTGGGTAGGCCAGGGGGTAAAGAGGTGTAAATTTAATATGTTTTGTCATCTGTTTTACATGAAGGAAATGTATCTGTACAATTACCACAGCCAGATGGGAGGTTGGGTCATGCCATGTAGTGTGAGCATGACAGCATCAGCCCAGAAACCACACAAAGATCCCAATCTTGACTCTACTCTTACATTTCAGTGGGCTCCAGTCATATGTGATGACTGCTTTTCTTGTTGACATCCCCTAATTATAGTGGCATTCCCATTCTTTACACCTCTCTCGGTCATGTGGCTACATGTATATCAATGGCAAAACTTTTTCATCAGTGCAAAAATGAAAAAGACATTTGTTAAATTATGCAGGATGTATTTTGTTATGTGTAAAACAGTTGTGCCTGGGGATGGGAGTGTGGCCAAATTGAGTTTCAAACGTATCTGGGTCTCAACACTCTTGAACGGTTTGGATAGCTCCCTGTGCATGCCAGACAGTCTGTATATAAACCTGTGACAGGAACCTTGAGGGCAAGAAATGTATTCAAGAATTTCTGGGTCTACTGGACGATGATTTCTTACACATGCTTCTTTAATATAGCCGTGATAAATAAAAGAAGGAAACAAATGCCGAAAACTTGGCACTTCCACTGCTCACAAGAATGGCACTTTTGGCCCAGAGTGCTTGCACACAAACATACACTTTATGCATTACTGTAAAGGAAAAACCTGCACTTTGTTTGACAAGTGTAACATCCACTCTAAGAGCTAGCGGTAACAATGTATAGATAATATTGCACAATCTAAAGCTGTTCTTGGGGTCAAATATGTAAGTTACCCTCTTGACCCCGCCCCCATCCCAGCTGGTGAGCCCCCCCACCCACCCATCCACCCACCCACACACACATACACACACTCACAGATCTACATAGATAAACAGGATAAACAGGCACCTACAGACAAGTGTAAAGACTGGGTTTGCATTACCATCCAAAATATCCTCCACAGTTTCAACAGAAGACTCGTCACACTAAGAAAACTCATTCTATCTCCTACATACGATATAAGATCACAGTCCACAGAGAAAGAAGCACACAGAGGAGCTGAAAAACGCGTATGTGCCAGTATCCCGCAGTGATTGCCTGATTATTTACAGATGGGAGGTGGAAGGCTTGCACTGTGTGGAGGTTCCCCCTGGCAGGCTGCGCATATGATTCAGTCTGTGATTGCTTTACAATTTACAAGACCCCATCTCACCCACACTTGACTTTGACTTTTTTACGGCATTACTACATTGTGCAGACTGTTAGCGCTGTCCAACAACCCGCTACATGGTCCCAGAGCTATATTATGTCTCCTCTCATGGTCACCCTGAAGATCCTGGCAATGTGTTATGTCACAGGACCAACGAGGGCTAGGCGGGGGGCACTTTCCTAATCCCAGTGTCCCCTCATTCAATCTGGGAACAGAGTAGTATTTACAAAGGGGCTGATCCCCAACTCAACCCTTGCGCCTCCGCTGACAGATTGTTATGCGGGTCTCCTACCAACTGTTCAAAGTGGTTATGAGATCAATTAAAACCAGCTTAGAAGGGTGCAGTGGAGATGTGCAATTCATAAGTGAGGGAAAGGGGGTTCCGTATCTATTCATTAAATAATTTACACAATAAGCCTATAAGCCGCTACTCACCCGCACCATCAGCTTTTTAGTTTCACATGTAAATAATGTAGGGCGCCCTTTGTTCGGGCCACGACGTCCGTGGGTAGCCTTAATAATCTAACAGTGTCTTAAATATAAGCCAACAATTAGCCACTCCACTGACGCAACGTGTTTTTGATATTAGTTTTGGATAGCCACATGCATGGCACATTTTGCGCACATTTTACTCATTAACTACAGTCTCTGAAATCGTTACATACATGTGGAAAGTCTTTAAGTAGATTAATAAATTGCATCATATACTGGGAAACTAAATTGTAAGTTTAATTAAAATTTTATTTCATTTAGAATTTCTGGAATGTTCCTGAATTACAGCTTTTGCCTAGAGAACTCTCATTTGTACATTTTCAAACTCAAAGAGACAGTTATCAAAATTTGAGAGAATTTCTTCGAACTTTCCGCCTTGTCTGTGCGTGCTGTGCTCAGTGGGAACGTACTGAGAAGATACACCAACATACAAATGAGAAGGACTTGCACAGAACGTGCAAGCAACATTGTTTTGGATGGTTGCCGTTGTGTCCCGTGAACCACACAAACTCTTAGACTTTCAGCTAAAGTCACTGCCTGGATGCTGCTCTATGTAAGACCTGTATGCTATAACCCCATGTTACCTCTTTTGTTTCTCCTCCAGCGATGCGACGGCGCCTGACAGTTGCTGTACTCCATACAGTTCAATACAATCAGGGCAAATGAGAAGAGTCGAAACTGCATCTGGACGGCTATCTGTTGCTCGAACTCCACTAAAAAGATGCCAGCGGGGCTTGGGGTGAATTCTCTGACTTTGTAATGTCCTCCTCCAGTTTCTTTAGTCGCTCCACAAATATGTCAAACATCAGATGGGATGCGACATGATATCACGCCACCGATTAGGATCATTTTATGGACTGCGCTGATCTTCCAGTCACTAAAAGTGTCCGTTTTCGTGCGCTGTGGGGAGAATGACAAAGGAGGTTATAATGATAACAGTTTAACGAAATCAACACCTTCCTAAACAATGACGAGTGAAGGTGATAGAGGAGAGATTAAAACAAAAAGGAATAGCTCTTCTGTGTGTTAATGTGTTGGAACAATCGCAGATTCAAAGGCGACCCGTACGGCTCAAAGGCCCCCTCCTAAAATGAACGCAACCGTGCGTAATAGTCGCCAAAACGCTCCGCGAGATAACGTGTTGCTGTATACCTTGCATTAGACGAAGTGAAATTCCGCTCCAGCCCACGTTTAGGTTCCCTCTGAGTGCAAGTGCGGCTCGGGAACATGCAGCATCCCTTTTTGTGTGAGAAACTTGTGTCACTAGAAGAGATCAGAGGTCCGAGCAGGAGGAAAAGGTGGTAGCGGTGAAGGGAAGCTCCTTTCCTCCTTACTGAGGGCTTAGACTCCCTTTACCTGCGTTTCCACATTTAAGTCCTGTCCCTGTAGCAGCAGAAACAAACTCACATGTGTTGCCTTCTTTAAAGCGGAAAACGAGAGCCGGGGAGTGAGTCTGCCTTTTGCGCGCTGCTAAGGTTGAACGGTGACTGACGCCCAACTGGTCCTGATGCTTGCTGCCTTTTTCCTCATATAGCGCGGTTCCGCTGTCACGTGTGGAGATTTCTAGTTTTGTGTTTCCTATTTAAGATGTTGAAGATGACATTTCGTGTACTCTCACCCCACCTCCGCCCCCCGTGCACTTACTCACACTGGCCTTTACGAGGTTGCCTCTAGGTCCTAGAGAGCGCAAACAGCTGGAACATTTTCAGGGAAAAAGTTAGTACCAATTTTGCTGTGGATTGCAGCTTTCCTGCGGTGGCATAAGTGAATTTAACATTTATAACTTTATTTCAGTATTCCAATATAAATCCCAGTTCTTACTATTACACCTTTTAACAAATGTTTTCGTTTCAATTTAAAGTAATGACACATCTCAATTTAAAATGAAAAGTGAACTGCGTAACTGCTGCACAGTCATTCAAGTTAATATCGTGGTCCAGCTTTCTTCCACTGACTATAACCCTACTGAGTAATTGCGGGTTCGCTTAAAAAAGCAATTTTCTACAGAACATGCGTAACGAGATGGGCTCGCAAATCAACCATCTCATGACGCCTCATTGTGCACCCGAGATTATACGCTTACCCCCTCCTCCACAGAAGTGAATGCTAATCGTATGGTGAGGCTGTAATTGTAGAACATGAATAAATCGCTCAATGATTTCAAGGTTTACAAGGCTCTTTCACATTAACCCTTGCAAACTCAACGAAGGCGTGAGATGGTCAGTGAGCTTCTCCTTCAGTGTGATTTACCTTGCCTTGTGGGGAAAGGTATAAAGTGCTGTCAACCATCCGCTCCTCGCTGACATTCAGACCCTGGCTGCTCCTCAGCTCTGCAGTTCGGTGCAGGAAATAATTACAAATCAGAGATGAAATGTGACAACAGTGGGTGGAAAGTTGGTGATAGTGGGAGCTAGAAAAATAATCCGAGTGTAGTTAAGCTCTAGGAAACCAAACAATGGTGACCCATCTATTTCTGCTCTTATTTCATCACCTTCTGCAACTTCTACAATATGAGTGGAATACAATTTATGAATGCTCTACCCCCCTTCAGCCACTAGGTGTGGCACTTAATCTTTTATTTATTTCAGGAAATTATTTTCGTGTGAGAGCTGTTTTGCCCAGCAGTGTAAAATCGGGGCAAAAGCACAGCCCTTCACAAGACAAAAACACGTCACAGTCATGTGCTGTATTCAAGATATGCAACAAATTTCTGTTTAAGAATTATGTTCTTAATTTAATTTCTTTTGCACTCACAGACATCACCTAACATTACAATGCATGACATTACCAGTGAAAAAGAGATTTCTACCCTCAGGCAGAAACACACAGTCACACACACGCACACATTTCCATTTCATTAGTGGGAGTGATTGAAAAAAGTATGGGGTGGGAAAAACTATGTGCAAAAAAAATAGAACGAAAAAGGAAAAAGAAAGAGGAATTATGGATGTGTGCCTGCCAAAACTTATAGTGACCTTTGTCTTCACTGTATTTATCCGGAGAACAGTGACAGACGTTGTGGTCAGGAGGGCAGGCAGTGCTGTTGGTTTGGATTCCTCTCTAAAACAACATCTGAGTGTGCATGGTTAAGGTGAATGTGATAATTTAGGCCTCAGGCACTTTTATTTTCATGATGTCTCATGGAGAAGGGGGCCGGAAAACCAATCACTTTATTCTCTCCATCCCTCTCCTCCCTCCCTCCCTTGTACTCATTGCAGTGCACAGAAGTGGAGGTGACGTCAGCATTTGGATGGTCTGGCTCTGAGCCCTCGGTGCCATAATAGCAATGAGGGTAGCTGCTATACACTCTGTTCCTCAAAGACTCAGACTGGATGGTCTTCAGCATAGGATGCTGTCACAGTTCACTATATATATATATATATAAAAGATCAAGCCAAGACTGCTCATTTAAAAGTTACAATCCCCAAAATGTCAAAGACAGGATGAGAATGAGGCAAGCTGAGAAAGTTTGAGTTATACTTGGCAACACTGCATGTTTGTGGCTCCAAATGGAAAGAGGCAAACTTCAATGTCCAGAAATAACCTACCATAACATTCACAAACAAAAATTAAACATTATGGTCCGCAGGTTTTACTGTCACCATAAGATGAATGACAACAGTATCTCACATCAAGGTCTATTGTAGCTAAACTGGAGCTTGAATTGGAAAAAAAATGTCATCTAAATTTCCGAGATAATGAAGATAATGTAATATGTTCAAAAGCTCAGTTATTTAATGCACCTTGAGGTCAATGTGTTTTGTCAATTGCTGTTTAATAAGGTCACAGATGAACTTTTTGGACAATATTTGAATTAAATTGTTGCATGCCTCTGATGGAGCAAGGAGATTAGGAGGAGTAATTTAATAATATGATGATATCTGAAGCCAGGTTTCTTTAAGTCAGTATTTAAACTGTTCAGACATGTGGCTGTTAACCACCTCAAACCTGCATTGGCAGCAGGGCAGTGCTCTGGACTGGAGTTTTCACCTTTAAAACTGGAGCATCAGGCTCTGTGTGCATCCTGACCAGATATATAAATTGACCTGCATGTAAGAGGATACTGACCGAGAGGGGGCAGTGTAGGAGAACATCATTTCCTTTTAAGGCTACACTCTCATACATTTTGTCTGGTCACAGTCCCAGACTAACTTGTAGTTGGTTGGTAGTTTAAGGGCTAACAAAATACTTAATTTAAATGTATACTGAACAAAAATCTATTGGGATGCACAGTATACTTACAGAAATCAAGGTACTAAAAATAGATTTTCATCTCACCTCACCAGCTTGTATACAGTGCACACCTATCATTGGTCTGTCCTGTTTCTCCTCCAAACAGACATGTGCACTTTCCAGATTTTCAGTTTAATCTAATAAAAGCAGGTGTATCTGTACATATGGTAAAATCCTCGTTTGGTAGTTTAATTACACGTAGAAAATTGAAGGGATGTGAAAGAATGAAAGCCTGTTTGGGAGCAATTGGGATAAAGACGTAGGGAGGAAGAGTGTCAGGAGACTGAGTTATGAGAAGGTCGAAAGCAGAGAAAAGCGGGGGTGGAGTGGGACATTAAAAAGATTGCGTCCGTCTGGCTAATGGTTCTTTGTGGCTCCCTCATGTCCTCAGATGGGCATGATGACTGGCAGAGAGTGTGACCACTGGTAACTGTACATCACCTCTGTTTGCCCCCTTCAGCTGATGGCCCACTCTGAGAGACTGCCTGCCACGCTGAAGCGAACCACTAAAACACCATAAAACCGAGAGACTAAACAGCCATTCATCATTACTGCGCACACATGAGCCGCATCACACACAGCAGTCTTAACTGTCCCACTCAGTGACTCAATGCGTACATTAAAAGTTCATCAAGTATTACGGACACAAAAAAAGGTCTGACCACTCAAACCTCAACCATCATTTGTAATGTCCAGAAATAAGGCAATCATGGGTGAAAATGGTTTTGTTGGTCACTTTTATTGAACTGGTGATGACCTGAACCAAGGGCAAAATGGTATTGTGCTCCTTCAGGGACAGGGGTGGAAAAAAAGATATAACACAACGAATAGCATGGACACTGTGTTATTAAAATGCAGTTTCCTGACCTGCCCAGTTTGGTGTCTGGAAAAAAAGTGTGACAAAAATGAAATTAGATCATTTGTAGATTACTGAGACCAATCAAAACAATAGTTTGTTGTTGACTGTGGAAAATGTAAAAGTAGCATACATGTGCAAGCAGTTAAGTGCTGACGTTTTCCTTGTTGGGAGTGCATAATGTGTGTGTTCTGCTGGTGAGCGCTGGGTGGTGGTTGAAGCTGACAGGGACCCTAAGCAGCAGGCCCAGATGGTAGGCAGTAAATGTTCACTATATGTAAGTGATTTGTAGCCTAGAGGACAGCAGGATGTAATGGTGCTCTGTGAGTTGTTTGCAGCCTCTTTTGTCTAATTACAAAAAAGTCCTTTAATGAGGGGGGGGGCCTTAGCTGACTTTATAAGACAGGGTTATGGCAGCACTCCTTCTGCAAATATTCAAACAATTGGAAGAGGGAAATTGAGCACATCATGTGCTCCATGGTGAAAGGGTGAACATTTAACATGTCATGTCAGCACAACATGTTTAACATGTCAAGGGTGAACATTTAACATGTCATGTCAACACAACATGTTTAACATGTGCAGTACCGTGTCCTTGGTGCTTACAGGTGTTCGGTGAGGGAGCCAATCCATCAATCTGCTTTGGCAGATGTAAAGACTTCATGGAGTAGAGAAGTGTGTAACACAACAACTCACAGGTCCAGTTCAGACTATGTGCATTATTATGACATACTGTGTAGTTGTAGTGTTTGAACAGTCTACATACCATTAAAACTCACAAGGTCAACATCAAAAACACATTTAATGAG